GGAAATAGAATAAGATATTAGGTGAATCAGATATACACATACCTCATTTACGGTAAGTAAATTTTACCTAAATTTAATAGAATTAATTTTGTTTTCTCTACTGTTTTGATCTAGCAATTAAGATAAAACTAAATTCAATGTCGCATTAGTTTTAAAAACATGAATGCAAAAATGTTGGATAAATAAAAATTTATGGTTGCCTTTAAAATAAGGTATGTTTTACATTTGATCTTGTGAGGAAATCTGATTTTTTTTAACGAAGTATATTTGTAATCATAGGATTGATAGCATCAATTGTTTTGTTTATTGAGCAATGAATCTCAAAAATTGAGGAAATTGCTATTGTCGAGGTGATTATAAATTGGACATACACATGTCTTGTCGTCTGTAAACAATCTGACAATGTCTCGCGTCGAGTGGAGGTAAAAGTTCAACTTTTTGGAAATAAAATTGCATGCTGATACACAAATATAATAGATTAAATTTAAAGGCAGCTCTTCTATTATTTACAACATGCAGTAGGGATAAAAAAAAATAAGCTTACAGAAAGATAATCTTATTCTGAAGCTCATTAGTCAGGTGCTTTGATGCAAAATGTGGAATAAATATAGAACTTACTATACGAAAAGGTCACAGAATTAAAATACTTGCTACTTCGAGGGGTTATATATTTCTTTGTGAAAACTCTGGATATAATAAAGAAATTAAATCAAATAATATGTCTCTATATTATTTTACTCTTTTTTTTTTTAATTTAATCTAGATTCATCGTTATATATTCATTTTGAACGACCCTCTGTTCACAAAAATTAATTATTATGTTAAAAAAAAACCCAATTTTAACAGGAGGTGGAATCAAAAGTGATATTCAAGTGAACTTTCTCCACCATACAGGATAAAATTTGAGACAAATTATTAATGAATATAAAGGTTTTATAAAGAAAGCATAATAAGTAATCAATGTTAACGTTTTCGCTTCTCCCAGAGGCACATCCTTCCTTGAATGTTTTTCTTTTCCTTTAGCTAGAAAACGAATGAAAAACTATATCTAAAGCTTCCACAAAACACACAATTATTTTGGAGAATATAATTTTTGTAGTTATGTATCTACTTTGAATTTTAAATGGGATAAACCCTAACCCAGACAAAAAAGTTGATGAAACAAGAATATCAGCAGTCTCGTTAATTTAAAGTTGTCATTTCATAAGTTGTATGGTCCAAACAATGACCTTGTCAGCAAATACACAATTTATCATTAAGTCAACTGCTGACTGACGTTTTTCATACTAAATGTTAGGCAATTATTTACACACTGAATTGTCGACGGATTTTTCCGTTATTTCCCGATCATGATAAGGATTACACGGCGGGTGTGACGGGTCTTCAGGGAATGCTCACTCCTCCATGGCAGCTGGTCCCACCTCTGATGTTTTAGAGGTCTGTGTTTGCTCTTTTCCAAAATATGTAGTGTTTAATGGACTTTTGAGCTCGAATACTGTTCGTTATCTCCATAAATTTTATTAATATGAAGACGGAAGGGGATTATTAATGAAGGAAAAATGTTCTTTTCTTTGAAGAATTCGATCGGATATTAAGGAACTTCTAAACACTAATAAAAATGCTATTTGGACTTGGAGAAAAATACATCATATAGAGGTGTGAATATGAAGTCTATTTTCTTCATTTTCAACATAGGGTACCTGTCTTATTTTCGCAGGAAAAATGTTCAAAGACAACTGACAATTCTTAAACAGAAATCACTGTTGTTTACTTACAATTGGAAAATTAATGGGAATAATGAATTCATTTACTTATTCTTGGTCTAATATAATGCTAGGAATATTTTAATCCATTGCAAATTGATTAATTAACTGTAAATAACCATTTTTGCTAACTTACTCCTAAGGACAGATCCCTAACTGCATAAAACTACCAAACAAGTAGAACTCTTTAATGTGCATAGTTTAAAGCTTCCTTAATTGTAACAAAAAAGGACAAAAAAGTAAACTTATCATATGAAAAGCCCTTCACTTACATCTAGAAACTTGGTACAAAGTGTTACAAAAAAGTATCTTTAATTTTTTTTACGTTAATTTTTTTTTTTCAAAATTGAACATATTGTTCATGTAATTATTGAAAGAAAAAATCCTTGGGGCTGAAATGTTTATAAATTGGAAGGTGTCAGGGTCCAATCCTTAGGCTCCTGAAGTAAAATTCAAAAGAAACTTAATAACAGAATATTACCTCCATAATAAATGAGGTATTTTCTTAATTTTCTTTTAAAAAAGCTATTTTGCATAATACTGATTTGAACCTGTCATTTCTGTATCGCCATATGAAATTATTTAGAGATGCCTTAATTAACTCGTATAACTACCCTAGAAAGTAGAATCAATATCCCCCTATATAACTAGCTCTTTGACTACAAATTTCCTCTACAAGTTCATAAAAAAAACCCCTCAAACTCGCAAAGTATATTTTCAACATCATAATTTAAAATGATAATCTTGAAAACACTTTACAAAAAACTTGATACAATCACACTATGTGAAAAAATATAGATCTCGTAATCTCAGTTACATTTCATCAAAATATCATTTTTATGAAGAATTTTGAAGTAATCTATTTTTCAATGATGAATGAGATACAAATGATGAATTATGGAATGAGATTACTACAAAATATTTGTCAAGCAACCGCCACCTCGTATTACAATACTACCATAGGCAAAGAAGGTGCATATCATTGAAATGAACTTTTAAAAAGTCTTCTTCTTCTTTTTTTTTAAAAAAAAGGGGGGGTGTAGTTCCTGATAATTCATATTTTAAATTGTCGCTTTAGATGACTTCTTATTTACAGCAATACAGGTAGATATGGTAATGACCATTAAGGATTGGTGACCTTCAGTGACACGTATTCCTCTGTATTCCTCTAAGCAATATTAACTTTGTGTGGGGTTACGACTTAAACACTGGCCCACTATGTATAACTGCTGTGCCCATTTGAGAGTTCTAGAAATATTTCTATTAATATCAACAACACTAAATTTTTTTGATTTTATGTTTGTTTCTGTTTGTTTCTTTTTTTAAATTATTCATATTCTTCGTTATTGTATAAAACAATGACGCAAGGTATTTTCTTCTCTTTCGAATCGCTGTACTAAAGCCCAATTTTGTAAAGAATGAAATTTCTAGGTCAGCAATGGCTGTGACCACTTCCACTTAATGCAAACTTAATATTGGGTGTGTCATGTATGTTACAAGGCGGTTAAGAAATTCAATTCAATTTTCAAAAAATGCTTAAGAAATATTATTTCAGATGCACATTATCTATATGCACTGCTCACTAATGAGCTCCAATTCCATGGTAATTTTATGCAAATAGATTTACAGTGAATCTGTCCTTTTATTTAAATTTGAATTATAAAAATAAAAACTATGGTGTAATGCAGTTTGTAATAAATTCAAGTATTCTTAGCATAAAAAAATTAAGATGAGGTAATTTGATACTTTATTTGCACGTATTTTCCCTATTTATTAAGCAACAGCAATTTCTGTTAAACAATACTTCATTGATTTTAAACAATTTTCCAGGGGGAGAATTACAAGTACCCTATGTTGAAAGTGAAAAAAAAATTAACTCAGTAGTTTCCGCTTTACACAAAATAATTCTCTAAAAGTCCAGTTTTGTTTACTTTGGTATATAGATGGTCCTTAAGTCTAAGAACTGCTGGAGTAAATGAAAATTGTAACACATAAATGTTATTCTGTATAATGTCAATGCAGATGTAGACTTATTTAGGTTCAGTGACCCTTAATTAAAGTACATATGTTGTGACTGAGCGGGACATTTAGCCCCTGCATATGACATTGCTTGCACTCTAGTGATTCATCGTAGATGATTTCATTAAAGTATTTGTTTTTAAAAATTGCATTGTGAATTTTAAAAAAGAAATTACGAAATCATTTCACCTTTTCAATACTGAATAGGTCTGTTGATTGTTGCCATAATCCACGGTTCTTTCAAAAGGCAGTTTATTAAAACGCGGTATGTACCAGTGTTACATTGAAATTGGATTTTTTTAATGGGCACCTAATAGACCGTACGTCCAAAAGTCCACTCTTGTTTGCTTCAAGGACACAAATGAATCTAATAGCTGTTAAAAAGGATCGAGAAAGCAAACGTATACACATGTGTTCGTTTGGTTCACAATTCATTGAGTTTTTATTACTAGTATTTAAGAAATGACAAATGAGTAATTTTTGATGATAATCCTATGTAATGGGAATAATCGATGTGGTAAGCTAAGAACATTTGAATGAAATATAATAAAATTAATATACATACAATGTTAATATAGTTCTGATACAGAGCATATAATACTAGGCAAATATGAAAAAAAAAAAGTTTAAACTTTGGAAGAAGTGATCTTTGAAATTGTATAGTGGTTATAAATGTCGTGCAGGAAATATCAAACTGACGAGGACATCATATCTATATGAAAAATAGCCGAGCGCCCCTTCTCTGACTGCCCCTGGTGCATTTATCCTGTTCAAAAAAATATATTTTCTTTACAATCGGTTTTGAATAAGTTCCGTCAAGAACATGGCACGAATTTCCTCAGTTCATAACAAGCCTGTTTTGCTCTGGATTATAATATATGATATATAAATAAGATACAGCTTTTACACGACATTTACTTATCATGATATTAGTTCATGTAATGAAATATCAGGGCACTCTCAAAATGAAAATTAATACTTGATTCTGCGAATCAATCAGACGTAATCAGTAATTGACACTCTCTTCGGCGCGTTAATTGTTATTTGCAAGTTGAGTTGTCGATTCCTTTCAGCACGGAAGCCAATACACAGAAAAATTGTATAAATTCATGCAGGTAGACAGGAAATCTATGTATGTTCATGTTAGTTTGCCAAGGGGGAGAGTGATATCCCGTGTTGTAAATTTCTCTCTTTCTTTGCAGTTGTTTACACAGTGCGGTACATTGACAAGTTTACTTGCAGTGTGAGAAACAGGAAGTGACCAATACATACTTAGTACGCTGACATACGCACCAGTCCGGCCAACAGTTTTCTCATCAGTAAGCAAAAAAAAAACATCTTACGTGTAAGTAGAATATGCAATCTTTAAATGATTTTTTTCTGAGAATGATTACTCAGTAATTGCACCTTTAAAGATAATTTTCTGTACAGTTTAGTCAATGTAAAGTTTATCATATCTGTCATGCAGTAATTTACATTGTTGTGTTTGTATATTTTTGAAAGTACTTAGTGTGTTAGGACGATGATATATGCGTTGTTTGATCTCTTACACACATACGATCCTAAATTCAAGAGATGCCTTTTTTACTGCTTTTATGTTCCAGGTTCATTATCTTCATTGTAGGGATTCTCTGCAATATTGCATTCATATGTAAACAATACCGGTTGAGAGCGTGTAAGGAGGATGTTGTGTTCATTGATCACTTAATACATCTGTAACTCATTGCAACATGTGGTTGGTAAGTGATAAGATATGTATATGATAGTGTCACTGTGCTATGTACTTACTGCTAATTTCTGTGAAGATAAATATTTTCTGACTAAATGTGCCTGTTTTAGAGTGTCAGTTTATACTTGCATTGCATACCTATTTATCTAAAGACCTAGCATAGTAAATAGTAATTTTTATCTATGATCTGAATTCATTGTTCATCTAGAGCAGACCTTATGTCACTTGTTTTCTGCCAATATTTCGATGACGTGCCTATTTATACGTTTCACAGGCAGACTTTCCCTGTCTTTTTGTTGCTAATCAGGGTCCTCTATCACCCATGTGATCGGAATTCCTCCACTTATTGTACAGAGTGTCAACATTAATTCTACATACTTTGTAGGGCTGATGAACCGCAGAAATATGTTACGGCAAACAAAAATCAATCGCAGTTGATCAAAGAAAGGGAGGACACTTCTAGTGAAAGACAATCAGCAAAGCTTGTAATTTGGGAAACAGATTTGTAAAAATGTTTGTGAACAGATTTTCGTATTTGACCAAGCAGTAGCAATGAATTACACACAATTTCTTCCTCTGTTGGAATTAACTCTATCAGAAACAGTTGAACAGAAGACAAGACTTCGAAAAAACGTCAAGCATGTTAACTCGGACATAATGGCGCGAACAAAAGCTCTACACGACGCAGTTGACAGAGCATGTGGACTTCTCTTGAAGTGGACGGGAAGCGTGATATCCAAGGAAATGAAACGACTGGACACACACGAGCAAGATCTGTTGAACATTATAAATCGGGTGACAGAAGAGATTGATGAGGAAGACAGTCTGAAGAAAAAACAGAACACCATTCACGGGAAAGACGGTGTTCTCCCAGAAATACACCGACTGACTGAATTTCAATATGTTTCTTTGAATTTCACAGTTGGTCAAACCCTAAGTGACGAATTCATGAAAGAATTATGCGGGTCTACACAAATATATCAAATAACACCCCCGTCTTCCATTTTAAAAAATCGCCGGAATACAGTGCCAAACATTAGACTCTCATTGGTAGCAGAATTTCAGTGTCATGGTCCGTGTCCATCTGCCAATGTCCACGCAATCGCTCCAATATCGGACACAGAAGCCTGGGTGTGCTGTGGGTGGGGCAACAAGGAAATCGACCTTTACAGTACTAGTGGCGACAAAAAAGTCAATGTTAAACTTGATATTAACGTCAACCACGTCGTTTTGACAAAAACTGGCGATCTTCTGGTCTCAAGCTATAATGGACAAACCATCAAGAAAGTGGATCAAAGCCTAAAGGTCTCAACTTTTGCTGACCTTACCTTTTTTTCTCGTGGAATGACCTTGGCTGAAAATGATTGTGTGTATATTTGTGGAACAGAAAGAAACGGAAGTTCCGGGCCGTCAACGAAGGATAATCGTCGGAATATAATCGCAAAATATTCCTTGGATGGGACGCTTATTTCCGAATTGACAATTTCCCCACATGATGCACACCGAATAACTTTGACAAGTGACAACAATATCTGCTTTTCAGATTACGAAAACAGCAACAAACGCCAGATAGTACTAATGGATGAAAACGGCCAGGAGTTGTGCAAATACGGAGGACCAACGCAGCATGAGCAGGAAAGTCCATTTTACCCCCTTGATTTAACATGTGATCACTATGGACATATCATAGTGTCAGACTGGAACAACGATTGTGTACACTTACTGAACAAAAACACAGGCTTTTTACAATTTCTTGTAGAACAAGGCGAAGGCATTCAAAATCCCAGTGCAATAGCCATTGACAGAGAGGGGCGATTGTGGGTGGGAAATGCTACTGGTCTTATAAGAGTTTACAATTACTTCAGCTGGTAGTGTGGCTCTGGTGTTGTTTAAGGAATGACAGACATGACACGTAGGCATACTAGCGCTTCGATCAAGAAAAATATGCCTACATGCAAGTTTGTGTAATTTACGCACCAATAACGTTCACAAAGCTAAAAACCATTCCTTATATTTACGTTTTAATGCTTTAAAATCAACAAAACTACATTCAATATTTGAATTTTTTGCTGCCCTATATCATATCTGAAACGTCATTGAGATGCCACAATTACACGCATTTTTCCGTGTATTTTTACGCGTGATAAACACGAAAACGGGACTCAAATTAGTTTTAAAGTTGGCTTAGTTAAACAACACAGCAAATGTAGATATAAGTTTACAATTACTTCAGCTGGTAGTGACTACTGGCTACTGGTGTTGTTTGAGTTTACAATTTCTTTAGCTAGTAGTGAGGCTACTAGCTGGTGTTAAAAGAATAATATATTTAATTCACTTGGTAGTAGGGCTGCTTGTGTTGTATATACATGTTTGTTTACAATTACTTCAACTGGTAGTGTGTCTGCTGATGCTGTAAGACTTTATAATTACTTCAGTTGGTACCGTATTGTGGCTGCTGGTGTTGAAAGGGTTTACAATTACTTCAGTTGGTACCGTACTGTGGCTGCTGGTGCTGAAAGGGTTTACAATTACTTCAGTTGGTACCGTACTGTGGCTGCTGGTGTTGAAAGGGTTTACAATTACTTCAGTTGGTACCGTACTGTGGCTGCTGGTGTTGAAAGGGTTTACAATTACTTCAGTTGGTACCGTACTGTGGCTGCTGGTGTTGAAAGGGTTTACAATTACTTCAGTTGGTACCGTACTGTGGTTGCTGGTGCTGAAAGGGTTTACAATTACTTCAGCTGATAATGTAGTGCTAGTGTGCTAATCGTTATACTTCAGCTGATAGTGTGGCTAAAGGTGTTGAAAGATTTTTTATCTAGTGTGTCCGCTGGTGTTGTAAATGTTAACGATTTCTTCAGCTCCTGGTCTGGCTACTTGGTTGTTATAGTTTACAATTACCAAGCAGCTAGGAGTGTGCGTATTGGTATCATGATATATATTCCTTTTTTTTCAAATTAGCTACAGACACTCGAGACACTCAATATGTGCTCATTGTGACTCGTTATTGATATGGCAAAGGTTATGATTATATTGCTGGCAATTAAATACTAGTTCTTAAAACTGGCTTTAAGTGTCGCCTGCAGAGTGGAGCGACATTTAGGGATTACTTAACTCGGTGTGTCTGTCTGTCTGTCTAGCTGTCCGTCTTGCACATCTTATATGTCGAGAAGAGGTATGGATTTGATGTTTTGCAAATATATTGCTTGGCACTATCGCTTTTGTAAATTACCATGGCTACCAACCTCGTGACTCTTGACATTTGATTTACTTTTCAAAATAGTTCACAGTGTCGATATACAGCATATTTTACATTTAAAGGTAAATCTATGCTATTTAGCATATATACTGTTTGTCATTAAACATTATGAAAATTCATGTAATGAAAATGATGACTGTGCCTGCGTTCATCTATGCAGGTAGATACAAAGACTAACGAAGAGGAACCTATACTCTCCTCTGCTTCATTTTCAGAGGACTTAAATTCGACGTTAAACAAAATATAATATATACGCACACACGCATAATTAAATGACCAGCGAAGAAAAGGAGGGGTCAGCTTATACCCCCGTTTTCTAAGTGCCTGTTGCATGTAGGACCAAATTTCAGAATTTTCATACATATTACTCTGTGTTATATCTTTCTTGATTTTAAGGACAGATGATACAAACACATTTTTATCAAAAAAATTGAAAATAACAACTTGAGTCATGTTTATATAATTAAAAGGAAAAGTTTAACCGAATAGATTTTAATTCTTTATTAAAAGTGAAACAAAAACGGGATTTAACGTGACAGAAATTTGTATAGACTTATAAGGATGGTTTCAGAAAGGTAGAATTTTGAACACCATGGAAAGTTTACAATTCCTTAATAATTTAGAAATTTATTATTCGCATCGTTAACAACCAAAATACGTCAAAAAATATATACCATACCAGGGATCCATTTTTTGTTTGTATCATCTGTCCTTAAGGCAGTACCTGCTTCTTTCAGTTTTCAAAGTTTGTAAAGAATTACTGTAAAACTTTGTAACCAAACTTGGGATATACATGTTCTTGAGACTTTTATGCAAAATCTATGTGATCAATGATGTAAAAATATGCTTTTTTGTTTACCTTAGCTATAACTCTAAATATATTTAAAAGAAAAAAATTGCATGTAAACAATTTGATTTTTCGACATTTTCAAAATTATGGTATTTTGTAATTTTTTTCGGGAGAAATTGAGCAAATTTAACATGAATTTATTTATATTTTCCTTTGAAAATCTTCATTGATTCTCTTAGCAATTGAATAATTTAGATTTTCAAAAATTTTGGAGCATAACTTAATAAAACATGAGATCATACTTCTCTGTGATAAAATTTAGCTGTTTAATTTCGAAGGGTATATACTCTTATGAAAATAAGCAAAAAAAAAAAAAAAAAAAAAAAAGACGTTAATGGTAACCTAACAACAAAGCTTTATGATAAACGTGATGACTTCAACTTTTCAATCGTCAACTTCCCTTACTTATAGCAATATACCCTTATCATCTGCATATGGGATTTACGTCTCTGAGTTGATTCGATACGCAAGAGCATGCTTTACGTATGAACAATTTCTAAAACGAGGCAAGCTATTGACAAACAAGTTGACGAAACAAGGATATCAACAGTCTCGTTTGAGGTAATCTTTTTGCAAGTTTTTCGGTCGGTACAATGACCTTGTCAATACATACAACCTATCATTGAGTCAAATGCTGATTGACATTTTTCATACTAATTGTTAGGCCATTATTTATACACTGAACTGTCTACGGATTTTTCCGGTTTTTGTTTCCCGATCATGACAAGGAGCACACGGCTGGTGTGACCGGTCTGCAGGGAATGCTCACTCCTCCATGGCACCTGATCTCATCTCTAAATTTTGAAGTCCGTGTTTGCTCTGCTCCAAATTTGTATCGTTTCATTGGACTTTGGAGATTGAATACTATTCCTTATCTTCATATTTTTTGGTAAGGTATGTCTTATATGGTTTTTTTTATAAGCCTATAAGTTGTTTTATTTAAATTATAAAAATATTTGATTGACAGAAATATTTGAAATATCGATCCTACCTTAATTTATTTATGTGTATTGAATTTTGAGAGGCAGTTTCCATTCAGTCTTGTTGAAAGAAACACCTTATGTGGATTCTCAAAAATTCCAAAAACAACTTTTAGAAAATTCTAAATCTTCAAATTTTTCTGAAGTCAGTTCCACTATCACCTGCATATGGTGTTTACATGTATTTCTCCAACTCATACGATTTTTAAGAGCATGCTCTGAGTGCGATCAAATTTAAAATCGAGGCAGGCTACTGACAGATAGCTTGATGCTTCGAGGATTTCAATAACCTAAAAGTCAACCTTAAAGTCAGCATTTCGTAAATTCTATGCTCGTAATAATGACCTTGTAAGAAATTATATAACCTATGATTGGGTCGTATTTTGGCCGACTGTTTCCATATTGTTAGGTCTTTGCTTTTAATGTTCCGTTTACTTGATCAATACATAGGGCTCAAGGCGGGTGTGACCAGTCAACAAGAGATACTTACTCCTCCTAGGCACCTGATCCCACCTCTGGAATTTTCGAGGGTCCGTGTTTATGCCCTGTTCACAGGTTTGTATTGTTTGAAGATTGTTTGAGATCGATCAATATTTGTTATCTTCACTTTTTCCTTATTGCTTAGAGTACAAAGGGAAGATTCCAAAGGGGATCACTCAAAGTTTTAAGAATAGGATTTGTCTGTATCCATGCAGTGAAGTGTTTTGTTCTGAAGTTCTTCCACTCTTGAAATATCCTCGTTGAAGAGAAATTGTACAAAGATGTTTGAGTGCGTTAATCTGTTTTTTGGATGATGAATCAGTGTTAAATCATTTGAGATGTAGTATCTATTTTAAAGAACAATCAATGTTTCTAAAGTATGAGATTGTTTATTATCTACGCTTTACTCTGATTTTAATATATCATTAAGATTAGGCTATTGTTAACTCTCCGAGTTAACTCTGCTAAGAATCATAGCTGTTTCTTAATATTTTCCATTCCACAATACTAGTATTTGCATTTCTTCTATTTTATTTATTATTATTGTGTCGTTTACTAAATAATGGATTGGAAAAATCGTCATGTAATCAAACTCAATATTAGATTTGAAATTGGTAAAAGACAAATACAATTTATTTGATACTGTTTGATGTTCTTTTTTAAAAAGTGACCCAGTGATTTAGGATATATACAGATATCTTGAGTTGAGAGCTCGTTTTCTGGCTTTCTCCAATCCGTCCGTCTGTCTGTCCGTCCTCTGTAAACTTTTCACATTTTCCACTTCTTCCAAAGAACCACTGGGCTACTTTTAACCAAAGGTGACACAAACCATCCTTTGGTGCAGAGAATTCATAGTTGATCAAATGAAGGACCAAACTCCCGTCCATGAGGAAATAATCAAGAAAAGTCAACAATACGTTAGGATGATTAAAAAAATCTCCTCGTGAATCACTGGGTCAGTGATAACTCAAGTGGAAACTTTCTGAAGTAGCGTAGGTTTGAAATTGTTCAAATCATGACCCCCGAAGGTAAGATGGGACCACAATAGAGATAAAAGTTTTACATTAGAATATATGAGAAAAATCTTTGAAGATCTTCTCAAACACCCTGGACCAGAAGGAACGAAATTCATGCAAAAGCATTCAAACACATAATATAGATTCTAAATTGTTCAAATTACGGACACCGGGGAAGGATGGGGCACAATATGGAATCAAAGTTTAACATTGAAATATTTAGGAAAATCCCAAGAATCACTGGATCAGAAAAATGAAACTTATGTGAAAGCTACCAGACATTATGTAAATCTTAAATTGTTCAAATCATGGTTCCTGGGGGTAAGGTAGGGCCACAATAGGGAAAAATAGTTTTACAATGAAATTTATACGAAACATTGAAATATAGAGGAAAATCTTTCTTTTAACATCTTCTCAAGAACCATTGGAACAGAAAAAATGAAACTTATGTGAATGCTTTCATAAATGATG